GACCTCATTGAGCTATGGCTCTTTCCACATGATGAATTTGGCAGCAATATGATGTACAGAGGCCTGCGCTCTCTCCTTGTGAATTTGGCCCCTAGACCAGCCTGGATTGTTCCCTGTTGACATGGATTGCTTATGGGGTCCTCTCCCCCAGCCCGTCTGTCATTTTGACTCTTGTCCCCAATGAGTCCCACTTCCGACTTTGTTCGGTTCACTGCCTCGGATCTGATCATTTTCCATCTGGCTGTTTGTATGGACGAGGCGCCGCCCCCCCCCCCCCTCGCGCGAGCTTCCAGTGCGGCCGGCGGGCGAGCCAGGCGCCGGGCGGCCGTCACCGGTCGGCCCTGAACTGCGGCGGCGAGCGGTGCCGGCACGGGCGGCGGCGGCGGCCGCCGCGGCGGCCGCGGCGGCGGTGGCGGCGGTCCGGCCGGCGGCCTAACTAACTCTCGCCAGCGAGACGGGCAAGGCCAGAACCGACGCCGGCTGACCGAGAGCGACGGAGCCGACGCCGGTCGCGCTGGTGAGGGGACGGTCGTCCATTGGTGAGACCCATGAGACAGCCCGCCTCCACCGTGCTGCTCATCACTCCTGACATTCCGTTCGTAACTGCCGACAGCGGGGTGGGGGTGGGGGATATGGATGACCGTCTTTGTCTGCCCAGACCCTCGGCTGTCGCTGCATTGTTGTCCATTGGCCGCGTGACTGCAGACCGGCGCGCTGGGAGAGCGGGCAGACTGTGCCGAGCCGTCAGGTCATGGCTAGCGCCGGCTGGACGGCGGCCCATCCCTGGTCCGTCTCCTCGTCCCTGGTCCGTCCATGATCCGCTCATGTCCTGGCACGCCGGCCACCGGGCCGGGAGCAGCCCAGTCCGGCGCAGCCTGCACCAGGCGCGAGGCTCGCTCTGCTCCCAACTCCGGAGATGCGGCAGCGGATGCACCGGCTGAAGCCGACAGAGCGTGTCCTGGCTGGCGGGAAGCGGGATCAGTGGACGAGGCTGATAACGGGTAGTTTCTCCGGCTGTTCGGGTTTGGTGATCGCGATGTGATGCACGTGACGCAACGCCAAGCCGGTGACTCCAAGTGGTGACTCCGAGTGTGTTAGGCGAAAACAACGCGCATGCTGCATCCGACGTATGAGGAAAATCAGCTTGGATCTCGCTTCAGTTATCGTCAACCCGACACAATATCAGTTGTTAGACCGACTGGAATGGTATAAAAAAGGAGTCAACGAGGAAAAATTCAGCCAGCGGGAATGTTGGCCCGACGGGTGTAACAGTTACGGTTGCCTTTATACATACCAGTCAGTTTAACTAGAGATACTCGTTTCGATAAAGGTGTGTAGCCGAAATATCAGTATCTATCTCTCCATAGTTCTGTTTTTTCTATGAGAAATGAAGTAATTCATACTGCCCTACCTATATGCATAATGTTCCTCGTAAATGCACTTAACAATTTAATGTGCTTCGGTGACATTTTCAACATTCACTAGAGATGTTACTTTAAAGCCTTCAATTTTTTGGCAACGTCGTTAGATGGCGGTCCGGGGCAAATGGTGTTAGGTTAGCTCAGACCCTGGTCACAGCGACTTCATTCCAAGGCGACTTGAACAGTCGATGCAAAATTATTATTCAAGTGTAATGATAACGTAAAAAGAGATCCAAGCGTGGGTTTTCCTCATACGTTGGAAAACAAGTAAGTGTGCGTTCATTTTCGTCGCTAACTGCTATCAACACTTCCACGGGTGAGAACGCGATGATGATGGTCATCTGGGTCAATAGTGTGCCCCGACTGCTTGCCTCAAATGGGTGTTCGTACGAGAATTGATCAAGCCATTTAACTTCCAAAGCAGCTACCCCAGGGGAAATACCGAATACACTGTTGACTCTGGAGCAAATGACCTTTGGTTTGCCACCTCATGTTCACGGCTACTTCTGACATTCGTTGGTTCGAGAGCGGAATGTGCCGAAATATCAATAATACCTAAGGTTCAGTGCATTTGCAAGAAACATTGTTAAACATAGGTAAGGCAGTGGTAATATGGCCCTTTTCCTTGGATAAAAACCAAGAGATGGACATATGATAGGCTGATGTTCTGGAAACATGGTTTTATTAAACAATAGTAGAAGGCTCAGTGCATTTTCGGGGAATGAAGTTTAGAATTATAATTATATCATAAACTCATACAATGCAAACCTCTGATTCTTCTGCGAGGAGTAACACCGATCAATACTGCCTAATTTCCAATGCACTTCAACCTGGCTATTATGCCATACCATACTCGCGCAGTTTCAAAGCGCAACTGGTCTTATACGATATGATGCTGTTTTAGTAGAGGCCGTGTAGTGGGTCTGCGAGGCCTCAGTTGTCAAATCATTCGAAAAGTGAATAAATTAAACAAGTGACGATAAGTATGTCGAGGCTTCGACCGGTTTGCAGCAGTTTCGTGACCGTACTGCTGACACAATAGACACCGCATGTCGCGTCGGAGGGTTTGCCGCCTGCCAGCATCATCCTCTTCCCCCCCCCCCCATGTTTGCGGGCGGTAAGCCCAAATTGCAGCGAACGGGCGGTACAGGCGTCCACCTGGTATTGATCTTCTTCTGTTGCCAATAGTCACTCCCCTCACCGCGTGTACAAACCAATTTACGGCCGGCGACCCGCGTACAAAAAAAGTTCAACTGCTACAGGAATACCAATTCAGATCACAGCACAGCGCTTTCTTTGTTTTGTCGATCGTGTCTGACATGGCATGGCAGAACGGGCGCTCACCCCCCCGCACTAAACGACCCGTAAATCGATGACTGCCCCAGCGGCCGCCACCTGCGGTGGCGTGGTCAGACGGCTAACACTGCGTCGGGCCGGCTCTTCGGGGCGCTCCGGGGCCGACCCACGGGGCTGACCGACCGCCGCCCGTACGGTACAGGGGTGAGCGGGCGGCCGCCGGTCAGACCAGCGGGGGGACGAGCCGCCGCGGCGGGCCATGGCCACCGGAACTGGCGCGCACCGCCGCCGGGACGCGGCCGGCGCCGCGGCGGCGCCCGGCCGACCAACCGTTGCCACGGCATGGAGGATCGCCAGAGCATGCCGCCCATTCACGGCTCATTGTTTGACGGAACGGGAGCAGCGCGCGTCACCCGGAGCGGAGCCGGCCAGCTGCATGACCAGGGGCCGGCGGCGGAGGGGGCCAAAATCACGCCGCACGAGCAGGGCCACCCTGCCCATGTTCACCAGTGCAAGACTGCATTCATCCAAACGGCAATCAATTCAGATACCCGTGCGCCTAACAGCGCGCACGATACTTCATCACCTCGAGAAACGGGCTATCAACAGCGAAGGGCAAAAACGCGAGCAGCCGACGACAAAGACGAGCCGGCAATGTCGGCGGGCTGAACGCGCGGGGCAGCGCCCGTGCCTTTGTCCCTGCCCTGACAGCGTTCGCGTGGCTGGAAGGGGCCGCGGGTGGGCGGCGGGGACGCGCGCCGGGCTGCCGGCTCGCAATCGGCTTCAATGCGCGCCGGAAGCGCGGCCGCCCTTGGCCCATCACACGCGGAGGAGAGACAGAGGCCAGCTGACGGCCGTTTCGCGCCAGCCCCGGCCGAGGCGGCGCCAACAGTGGAGCTAGCTGGGCGCTGTGCGCCGCCTTATTCGGGGAGGCCGTTGATTGTTTGTCGCCTGCGCGGCCAATCACCTGCCGTCAGATCGGCCACCTGCTCCCTCCCCTGCGCGCGTGCGTGTGTGTGTTTGTGTACTTGTGTGTGGTGGGTGTGGTGGGTGGTTGGGAGGGCTTTGATGCGACTGCTCGCAGCGTCTGGTCATGTCAGAGGAGACTGCCAGCGCCGTCTCTGTTCGGCCGAGGCCCGGGCCGCCCGTGAAAAGGTTGCCACAGACTTCCGGCCTCGCGCCGCTCAGTCGGCGCCACGGCATTGACCTGGACACGGCCTGCACATTGCACAATGGGCGGCAGACGCGCGAGCTCGGCTGACCGAGTCGTGCGTGGGTTGACCCGTGTGGTGGGGCAGAGCAGAGGAGCCAGGTCGGCGACCAGAGCAGAGGAGCCAGATCAGCGGACAGAGCAGAGGAGCCAGATCAGCGGACAGAGCAGAGGAGCCAGATCAGCGGAAAGAGCAGAGGAGCCAGATCAGCGGACAGAGCAGAGGGGCCAGATCAGCGGACAGAGCAGAGGGGCCAGGTCAGTGGCCAGAGCAGAGGAGCCAGGCTAGCGATCAGGGCAGAGGATCCAGGTCAGTGGCCAGAGCAGAGGAGCCAGGTCAGTGACCAGAGTAGAGGAGCCAGGCTAATGACCAGAGCAGAGGAGCCAGGTCAGCGGCCAGAGCAGAGGAGCCAGGCTAGCGACCAGAGCAGAGGAGCCAGGTCAGCGGACAGAGCAGATGTCTTGCCATCCGCGCGCGTGGTACCCGAGATGATGCCGCGTGGCGGCGCGCACGCCCCACATGAGTCACGTCACGGGCTCCCCTGATATGGACTGTTATCCAGTCCATGTATCGCGCCCTGGATATGCAGTCAGAGTCGGATGTGGACCTATTTGCTTTGAAAGTGACGAGCCTACACGCAACGCGCACACAACTCAGAGTGAGCACGTGCGGGGCTTCAGGTAATGTTCGACAGCTACGCTTTGTAAATGGATTTCACTCATGTGCTTTTTCATTCTAGAGAACACATTTCGCAGGTGCACGCATACAGGAACTGCGCTCCAGCGGTTGGCTAATTGGCTGTCTCTAACTGGTAAGGGGTCATCCATAGTTTACGAAACGGTGGAGGGGAGGGCTCGTGACAGGTGCTAAGCCAGTAGCTAGGGTTACCTAAAGTTAAAATAGCTACATGGAATATAAATCATGGAAAAATGCGTTAGGTAATGTATGGATGCTCCTTCGCACCGGGCTAGCCAGTCCGGGCGCATGCCCGAACAAGCTGGGCAGGGGCGGCCTGCCTCCCGCAGGTGGGTGGTGGCAGGGGCGGACGGCTGCAGGCGGCCGGGTCTCTGACCTGTCGCTGGCGTGGAACCGCAGCTGCACGTGCCGGCGGGGGTCGGCCTGACGGCGGACGCGCCGATGCTCCTGCTGCAGAGCCACGGCGTCATACCGCAACGGCTCGTAGTGGCGGACAAAGTCGTTTAAAATGGTGCCTGCAAAAGCGGTGTGTCATCAGCACGTTTTCCAGAACTTCGCGAGCAGAGGCCGTCCACGGATCACAGGCGAACATCAGGGGGCTTAAGTCTAAGCGTTTTCCTCAAGCAAAGGCATGCCACGAGCAACGCGCGGCGGCCAGCCTTGTTTGGAGGGCGGGTGGGGCACGATAAGACGCGGAGAAGGGCAATCCCACGCAATCAGGACCCTTAAAGCTACGTTGCCAATGCCTGAGGCTGTCATGCTGCTGGAAGAAAGTCCAACTGAAAGGAGCCCTGCTTCATTGTTCACGTACACGCATGAAGACACGCATAGACGACTACACGCCGCTAAGTATACGTTGCAGCACACAAACAGCCTTTAAGTATGGTCGCCACGTGATCCGAACTATGAGCGGGAGGGCCACGGACGCCGCCGAGCGGAGTCGCTATTGTGCAACTCGGCCTGTGTTGTTCGGCTCAAGGTGTATGTGGCCGCATAACTCCGCTCCATGGCGCGGGACATGACGGCAGCTGACGCATGCTGACAGGCGCGGGCCGAGCGCACGCGTGTGCGGCCTGACCTGGCCTGGAGCAGGCTGCCCGGCGGGGAGCGGGGCGCCGCCCGCCGCAGCGGCGGCGCTCTCCACCCTCGCCCCATTCGGTCCGGCTCCTCGGGCCATGCCGTGAGCCGGCAGCTCACTAACACCGATAATACAAAGACTCGGCCCGGGCACGCCCGGCCGCAGCCTGCCGAGCAGATGCAGCGAATGCGGCTTTGTGTTGCGCTGTCTGACTCATGGTCCGGTCCGGCTCGGCCGTCCGGTTCTGGCATGGGCCGAGGGATGGCTCGGCTGTCGGCGATGCCGGCGGAAGAACAGCCGGGCAGCCGCGACCGAGGCGCGGCGAGCCGGCCGGGGACCCCACGAAAGCCGTCCTCGCATAGCCGTCCTCTCGGACCCGTTCTCACACGGTGTCCTCTCAGCGCCGGGCCCCTCCGATCGCCCGGACGTCCCCTGAGACGTGCCAGCCGGCCGTTCCTCCCAGCCGGCGCGGGGCGGAGGCGCCGGGCCTGGGAGAGTCGGCCGGCGGGTGGCGCGGCGCAGGGCCGACCGTCGGCCAGGTGGTCGGCCGGCGGGTCATCGTCCCGGCTCTTACCCTCGCACGACGGTGGCGGCGGCGCACAGCAGCAGCAGGCTCCAGCGCGGCAGCATGTCCGAGCACGAGTGACGCGCGCCGCGGCCGCGGCCAGCATCGCAGTGCTGCCCACGCAGGCGCACACGCGCTCCCGCTCGCCCTCACTGGCCGGCCGCTGCGCGTGGCGCTCCTTCGCGGCCGCCGGCTCACCCGTCTTTGTGGCCCCGCCGCCGCGCCGCCGCCGCCGCCGCCGAGGTCAGCTGACGCCGGAGAACGGGCCGTGACGTCACGGCGACGGCATGACGTCACGTCCCAGGTGGGCGGCTGGATGCGGTCGGCACGCACTGACCGCGCCGAAATTGAAAGTGTCCGGCGTGCTGTCGCATTACGGCTCAGCCGGGTTGAGTTGGCCGTCCCTTGATGCATTTAGAGGCGCGTCGATCGTAAGGCCATTTTGCCCCCTATTTTTGGGAAGGGTCTTATTGTATTTTGTTCCGTTTTATCGAAAGGTTGCCACGGTATTGTCGTTTTGTTATTCCTTGATGTGTCCAATGCTGAGGTAGTTGCGTTTAAGTAGGAAATTGAGTCATCAGAAACGTTCAACGTTCGTATGATTTTGTTTAAAACGAAAAGTGGTATTCCGGAGAACAGCACCACAGCCTTACGAAATGCAAAACAGTATACAAATGGCAACTTCTGCACTTTTTGTTTCGACTCAGCTGTGCTATGCAGGACGTCATGGCCAAACACATTGCCGCCATACTGTTGGATGACATAAGTGCAAGAAATCATCGTGACTGCAGTGCAAGATGCGACCCCCTGGCAACAAAAACCTGGATCGATGTAGACAGAGCATTGACGGGACATTGTCCTGACGTTAAAATGTGATTACAGTTGGTCACTGGGCTGTTTGTTCGCGGCTTTTTGAGCTTTTGAAACCTGGCTTTATCACATCTTTTACTCAGCCAGTAGTCGACTAGACCGAGAAAAGTTTCCAGGATTGGGGACCGAGGCTTAGTTTGAGTCGTTTCTTTGCATGTACCATCGTAAGCTTAACGCCAAATTATTCCAAATGTCTGTGGCTCAAACCCTCACGCCGGTATATATATATATATATATATATATATATATATACATATACATATATATATATATATATATATATATATATATATACACACATATATATATATATATGTGTGTGTATATATGGTGTATATATATATGTGTATATATATATATATAAATGCAATATATATATATATATGTATATATATATATATACATACATATATAGGGCATATACATACATATATACATATTTAATTTGCGTTCAGCCTACATCATATTTACGCTACCTTAAACGTGCATCCGATCGACTTAATCACCAGCCATCTTGCTCTAGCCACACTAGAGAAAGTGTTTTATGTGGTAAATGGCAGCCTCTGATTATACGATCTACGGCGAACGGAAATCTTTAGAGGCAAACGCAAGGCTGCTCTAGTACAAACGGCTCAGTTTTGTCTTTTTATATGGCTTCAGTTCTTCTATCTGATTGCTTGGTCCCCTCAACATATGTTCATAGGGTTTGAGATGGCTCTGTCATAGGTGTTTGGCGTAGTCCAGCAAGTCACGTGAAAATTAGGCATGTATATAATGTCTGGGTTACCAACTTTCACAAATTTACCGCTATTACGGTATTTGGTTGACGATTCGGCACCCTGTGTCATCAAGTAGGCGGTGACAAAAGGCGAACTTTGTTCGCCCACGTAACCAAAATATTGAAAAAGGCTGTCGCCCTCCATTACTGAGTGTTGTTTTTGGAGAGCCACGAAATATATGGCGTTATTTTTTAATGTACTGGCTTTTTCCTTGGTTAATAAAAAACAACTTGCAGGGATAGCTGTTTGAAACTATCACTTCACCCATTCTGTCAGCAATTTTTGCCTGCAACCCTGATACCCTGGGGAACTTTTGCGCGTCATCATGTGCATGGACATAGTCACTCCGTAGACCGGTGGGGACCCTTTCGCTTCCGGTCAAATGGCGTCTACCAGGCCAAACAATCAGCTGCCTCAGGAATCCAACTCGAGGTGCCTGCCACATGCTAGAATGGGGAGAGTCTAAATATGAGGGTATGATTAATATATATATATATATATATATATCACAATGATTGCCCACCATATTGCAAGCTTGCGACCACTGAGAGCCACGACTCCAAAACGTAAGGGGTGTCGTTAGTTGTGTTACCACGCCAATGCTGAAAGAAGAGCATTAATCGATTAATTTAACATCAAACATGAAATAGCAGCCAGAGCATTCTGTGCATATATGTACATATATATATATATATATATATATATACTAATGTATAACAATGTGATATATACGTACATTACTACATATTGGTATATATGTTTATATATGCACCGATATATTTCACTAAAAAGACCGCTGACTCAGCAAAAACGAGCTTTTTCACTGTTCGAATTACCGGGCTTTTGACTTATTTGTCGTTTAGATCAAAGATAGTTGGTGCAAATCACTGACACGTTCGTTAATCTGCACATTCTTACGTTTCGAGATCTTGTCGCATCGTCAGAGAAATTAAGATGGCACAAGAAATAGGCCTTGGGTTTTTTAGGACAAAAATTGTGAATTACTATCGGGAAAACATCTCTCGTGTATGTAGTGTGTGGAACGAAGTTTGCAACTTTGTTCAAACCTCGTTCCATATTGCATTTGAATGGATTCACTACATTGACACATTTTAGTTCGTTGGTTTGTCTGGGCTGTTTTTCATAAGAAAGTTAGAGATTTTCCTTTTGCAATAATAGATGGCCATGTCTATTTTGTGGTTGTCCTTGCCATTTACATGTCGAGAGATGATTTCCCGCAGAGCTTTCTTATCTTGTTTGTTGGCGGATATTACACCTGACAAACTAAACTAGCAGCAACAGAGGGCATCAAATGAAATGCAATATCTAAGGCTGCAAACTTCGTTCCATACACTACATTGGCGTAACCACAACGACACTCTCACGACGCCTGACAAAGCACTTACTGACGGGGCACCTCTGGAACACATGCGCAAAGAACATGACAGGGCATTGACACAATAACAAGTGACGGACAACACTGGCATTCCTCGGACGTGCAATGATAGAAGACGAAATCTCAGCCCTAAACAGGCAAATAAATTACTGCACAACCCTTGAGTTAGGTGATGGGCGGTTGGTACTAAAGATGTGATTGCGGCAATGTCGTCGTGTCTTTGTAGTGTTTTGATTATGTATGCATTTTATATGCATCAAAAACCAAGGATTTGTCCGATTTCAATTGGTTCGTGCCATTTGGACTTTTCTGCAGCTGGTGGAGGTGGGCCTCGTCTCTGACACCAACAAATATGTCACTGACATATCTGCTGTTTAAGCTTAATGTTTTTGAGGATACGGTTCTCCATCCAGCACATGTACATATTTGCAAACAGGTACCCGAGCGGTGACCCCATTGCGACACCATCTACATGGTGACGGAATTTTCCGCTTGGACAACGGAACGCTGCCTTCTGTTGCGCAGCATCGGGGCATTTTTCTGCAGGCCACCATGCGGTGGCAATCGTCATTACGACTCACAACTGACCTGAGGTCGACAGCCATTTACCTTTTATTGACATCGACGTGGACGCGAGCAGCGAAGTCTTTCGTCACAAAAGTGCATCGTAGGCCCACTGATGCTGGAAAACGTATGAACCGGCTAGCGAATGCCCAGAGCGTTACCGCACGGCTGTCATTCGTTCGTTTGAACGACGTGCCCTAAAATATTGCTCCAGCTGGTCCACCACGCACCACGAACTTGAACGGTGTAAGCAAGTACTTGTTAATGACGGTTATTCGAGCAGAGCCATTGATGAGGAGATTGAGTCCACCTTGGATCGACGAAATCAGAAACCACTCGACAAGAAACCGCCCCATCAACTTTTTATCGAAATCAAATGCCCCCGTCATATAAAGTGGATGAAATAGTTTTGCGGAACATAATCAAGACAAATACCACACCGACTGACGAAAACACTGAAATAAGACTTACCATCTATTACAAGATCGGAGCAACTAGCAGCCCTATAATGAAAAACAATCTTACATCGGACCAAAATCAACTAACGCGCACTAATAAAGTGTATGAATTTAAATGCCCTTAAGGAGACTGCCGGCTGCGCAATTCTACCTTCATTGGTATGACCATAAGATCCCTGTCACGACGCATGACTATGCATTTGCAGGAGGGAGGGCCAGACTAACATGTGCGCAAAACCCACAACAAAAAACTCCTACGCTCTGACCTGACTGAAAACACACTGATTCTAAGATTATGTCCGAACAAACGCTGTCCACAAGTTCTTGAAGCCATCCTGGTCAGGGAAAAAAGGTCGGACTTAAACAACTTAAGTCATGCATTATTTTGGACCTGTTCAGTCACCCATTGACAGCAGGGTGATTCGGTGCATTTACCTTTGTATGCTGTTAAGCTGGCTGGACAAGTACTATGTGTCTGTTTGTATGTGTTTTGTAATTTGTGTAGGTATTTGCGTGTCAAATCTGTTACCTGATGGCCCACCAACAATTATGTCTCGTGGAGCATGCCCCACATTTTGCCATATTCCAATGTTTCCCGTCCGACCGTCGCACATTGTTTTGAGAATGGAGAATGAATGCCATTGAAACAAAACAGTTAGCTAGCTTAAATAAATGTAAATTACCATAGGCTAGTTGAATTCTGACTTATTGAAAACAACGGAAAATTTAATTTGAGCACTCGAATAAACTCATAAGGAACTGATTGAATGTACATTTGCTGTTGCGTATAACAAAACTTGTATAAATATATATATATATTATATATATATATATATATATATATACACGTAAGTACTTAAACCTGCAGGGCAAGAAAAGTAGTTGCTATCATTTATGTAATTGTCAACCTTTCGATACATTGTGTATCACCATCAGGACAAGGGTAGCGAGGTAAAATGAAATGTAGTTACATTTAACCGACGTCGTTAAACATGGCAATGATCACAGTTAACGCGATTAAATAGGAGCGGGGACTAAACAAGTGAAACATGAAGCAGACAAGCTCGTTCTCCGAGGAAACTCGTCCGATAGTCTTGAACCCCCCCCCCC